CGTTATACTTCAGCCCCCCCCCCCTTCTCTCATTTCCTCTGCCATCCTCCATTTCCCCTCTCCTTTCCCTTTCTCTCCCTCTCCTTCCTCTCCATCCCTCGCCTCTCTTCCTTCACCTACCTTCTTCCCCCCCCCCGTCTCTCCCCCCTCCCCTTTTCCGTCTTTCCTCCCCTTCTTCCCCACTCCCGTTTCTCCCCCTCCCCTCCCCTCCCCCCTTTTCCTCCCTTCCCCCCTTTCCTCTTCTCCTCACCCTTTCCCCTTATCGCTTCCCATCCCCCTCCCATCCTCCCTCCCTCCCCCTTTCTGCCCCCTTCTACCCTCCCTCCCCCCTTCTACCCTCCCCATCCCCTCCATCCCCCCTTCTGCCCTCCCCACCCCTACCCCTCCTTCCATACATCAAAGCAAGGTAATCGTAACATCTAGTCTTGTTATTACGGGTCACCTGTTCGGACGAGGGGAGTGGCCCCTGGGAATAAGGCGGGTGTGGGAAGGGGGGGGGAGGGGGAAGGAGGGAGGGGAGAGGGAAGAGAGGAAGGGAAGAGAGGAAGGGTGAAAGGAGGGGGGGGGAGAGGAAGGAGAGAGGGAATAAGGAAGAGTGGAAGAGGGAAAGGGGGAGACGTGGGAGGAGGGAGAGGGGAAGAGTGGAAGAGGAAGGGATGGGGAATGGGAAAGAGAAAAGAGGAAGGGAGATGGGAAGAAGGAAAGGGCAGGGAGAGAGGGGGAAGAGTAAGAGGTTGGAGGAGCGGGAAAGGGGAGGGGGAGGGGGGAGGGGGGAGGGTGAACTGGAGGAGAAAGGGAAAGAGAAGAAGAGTTAAGAGGCGTGGGAGAGGAGGAATAGGGGAGGAGGAGGAGGAGGAAAGGAGATAACGGAAGGGTGGGGAAGGAAAAACATCGAGTGAGAGGGAAGTGGGAAAAAGGGGGAATTGGGAGAAGGAGGAAAACAGGTGTTAAGGGTGAATGGGGAAAAGGAAGAATAGAGGAAGGGAGGCAGAGTGGAGAAGAAGGGAGGGAGGAAGGGAGACAGAGCGGATAACAAGAGAGGGAGGAAGTGAGAAAGAGAAGAATGGAGGAAGGGGGACACTGGGGATGAGAGGGGAGAGAGGAAGGGAGAAAGGGAAGAATAGAAGAAGGAAAGAATGAAAGAAAAGAAGGGAAAACGCAGGCTTGGAGGAATGAATGAATGAAAAAAGGGAGGAATGGAGAAAGGAGAGAACGGAGGAAAAAGAAGAATGAAAGAAAGAGAGAATGGAAGGAAGGAAGGAAGGAAGGAAGGAAAGGAGAAAGTCAGGTCAGGGCCTAGAGGGGGGGGGTACCAGATCAATGGCTAACTGTGGTATATGAAGTTGCTTGCGGGGAGATTAAAGGGAGATTAAATCCAGTTTTGCTTCAGATCGCCTTCAATTAGTTGTTCTTTTAGTTATTGTTCTTATTTTCACTATAGATGTCGCTGCTGCAACTATATTATGGATATTACTATAAATATCACAGAACGAAGTTGGTTTTGTCAATGCGGACGTTTTTGCAGTTATAATTGGTCATGCTTTTTTTTTTGTTTTTTATTGTTATGGATGGACTAAATTTACTATTAATGTTGTTGTTTTTAGCAATGATGTTTTGGAAAGCTCTGTAGTTGTGGATTCTGTTGTTGTTAAAGTTTTTTTTGTGTTATTTCTTATGTTGATGTTATTGTTACTGTTGCTTTGGCTTTGCTGTTGTGAAAATAATTGTTGTGCATCAGAAAGTAATAATACAATTTATATAATATAGAGTAACAACTCAAAGGGAAATGATCACTAATGAACAAAAAATTAAATGGGATTCAGCAACGTAAAAAAAATAAAGTGGGACTGAGAAAAAAAATATAAGAAAGGAGGAAGAGAGAGAGAGAGAGAAGAGAGAGAGAGAGAGAGAGAGAGAGAGAGAGAGAGAGAGAGAGAGAGAGAGAGAGAGAGAGAGAGAGAGAGAGAGAGAAAGAGAGAGAGAGAGATACATAGATAGATAGATAGATAGATAGAGAGAGAGAGAGAGAGATAGAGAGATAGATAGATAGACAGAGAGAGAGAGATAGAGAGATAGATAGATAGACAGAGAGAGAGAGAGAGAGAGAGAGAGAGAGAGAGAGAGAGAGAGAGAGAGAGAGAGAGAGAGAGAGAGAGAGAGAGAGAGAAGAGAGAGAACGAGAGAGAGAGAGAGAGAGAGAGAGAGAGAGAGAGAGAGAGAGAGAGAGAGAGAGAGAGAGAGAGAGAGAGAGAGAGAGAGAGAGAGCGAAAGTGAGAGCGAAAGTGAGAGCGAAAATGAGAGAGAGAGAGAGAGAGAGAGAGAGAGAGAGAGAGCGAAAGTGAGAGCGAAAGTGAGAGCGAAAATGAGAGAGAGAGAGAGAGAGAGAGAGAGAGAGAGAGAGAGAGAGAGAGAGAGAGAGAGAGAGAGAGAGAGAGAGAGAGAGACCAGAAGGGGCGATGGGGAAGGACAGGGCCGCACAAACTTCCTGGCATTGTGCGCCTGAGATCGATTCGAAGGCAAGATTCCGTCTAATTACAGGAGGGGGGGGGGTAAGGAGGAGGGAGGGGGAGATAAGGAGAGGGGGAGGGGGAGATAAGGGGACGGGAGGGGGAAGGGGAGGGAGGTAATGAGTGCGGGAGGGGGGGAGGGGGAGGCAAGGATAGGGGAAGGGGGAGGGGGTGATAAGGACAGGTGT